AGAAGGGCCCCTTATACTTTAGACGCCATGATGGGTTGCTGCGGCAGATGCCGAACCCCGACAGCTTCTGGGTCCTTAAGTAGCCTAGCGAGTTTCCAAAAAACTACCCTGAGTACCAACCGTCAACTCTGGACTCCCACCCTTTAAAACTCTGCAAGCCCCCACACCCAAAACCGTAAACAACAAATCTCCTAGCTGCGAAGCCCCTGCAGAGAGCCCCAAGCCTACAAAGCTCTGCTGAACCCGAGCATCCCATCCTGCATCCGGACGGAGCCGAAGACTGCAACGATGCCGAGCTGTATGTAGATCTTGGATTCAGGGTTTAGGGCTCAGTGTTCAGGGTTTAGGGCTCAGGGTTCAGGGTTTACGGTTTAGGGTTCAGGGTTGTTCCTAGATCCTTTTTCCCAAAACCCCTGAGCCTACCTGGATGGAACAGAGTGTGTTGGGGCCTTCCTCTTGCCACCCGCGGGCTAAGCAGGGTTTAGCATTTACAGTGTCAGGTTAAGAAGCTCCGTTTTCCCCCCACATACTGATCTAGAGACCTCCTGTAGCCCGCCATCTGTTCATGTACTTGCCTCTTTACCCTAAACCCTAAACCCTAAACCCTAAACCCTAAACCCTAAACCCTAACCCTAAACCCTAAACTATGGGTGAAAGAGGTGCCTCCAGCCAACACTTCGAGCCCGGTGCTGCTGAGTTCCCTGGCATACTTGCCCAGTGGTACGTCGCAATTGCCGTCCCCGTAGCGCCAAAGCGCACCTGCGATGGGCTCCCCCGCCCTTCCCCCCTTTTAGGGTTCAGGGTTTAGGGTTCAGGGTTTAGGGTTCAGGGTTTAGGGTTTAGGGTTTAGGGTTTAGGGTTTAGGGTTTAGGGTTTAGGGTTTAGGGTTTAGGGTTTAGGGTTTAGGGTTCCAACCGTGGAACTTTTTCGACAGAGGGTACACCAGGTCTCCTTTGCCCAGTGTGCCATGACCTTGTGTATAGCTCATGCTCTTTTGAGCCCTGGTTCAATGCTGGACATGAAGCCGCAACACCATGAGGGATCAAGAACCGAGGCCACCAAAACCTTGCAACCTGAGGCCTAAACCCCAGGGCGTGTCCTGCCTAGAGCACAAATCCAGAGATAGGCGCCCAGAGCCAGCATTAATCCAGTGAACTGCGCAAGGGCACAGACGATGCGATAGACTCGCCTGTGTACCTGGCAGTCTTTCCGCTCTTCTCGGTCAAGCGGTCTAACTTGGGAGGTTCCCCCTTAGACTGACAGTCCTTGCTAAGGGATTCCATGAATCATTAGGGGGTACGATAATCCCTATTTAGGCTTGTTAGTATAAAGGGGGGGAACATCCCAAGGTATAACCCTGCACCCTAAACCCTCCACCCTCAAGGGGGCAGATGCACGAGCTAAACTACATTTCTGAGCACCGTACAAGCAGAACAGAACACTAGGGTTGCGGCCTTTTGTGGGGGCCCTAAACCAAACCCAAACCGGCAGTTGCTTCTGCTCTGGCTGGCCTGTAACAGTGCCGTCTTCTAGCCCTACACATTAGTTAGGAGCCTCGAGCCTCGAGCCTAAGACCGGAGCCTAAATGATTCCCAACATATTCTCCTTCCAACTCCGATATACGTATCATGCAAACTACCCCCCCCCCCCCCCCCTCGCCCCCCAAAAAAAAACGGATGGGCCCCTAAGCCCTACACCCTGAACCCTGAAGGCTACCTTAAGAACCCAAAGCCTCCTCTTTTCTAGGGTTCTCTTTAGAAAAAAGGCTGAAATGATTCTTGGGTTACCTACAGGAAGAAGTTTTTTTTTTTTTTTTTTTGGGGGGGGGTGGTTTCTGGTAGAACCTAAATGGCCACAACTCTCTCTCATTGAAGGCTGGCAAAGCTCTTGATTGAGCCCCAAGCCTTTCAGGGGGGTTAAACTCTTACCCCGTAAGGTTGTCTCAACTCGGACTGTGTTCGCGGCGAACGCACAAGTCTGCCTCAAATCAGGCTGTATTTGAGGCAGACTTTTTGTTTGGGCAACATGATAGCGGGGCAGGTAAGTCTGCCTCAAATCGGGCTGTATTTGAGGCAGACTTGTGTTCCTGCAGGATGACCGCGGGAAGGGTGGGCAAACCAGCAGCACTGAATTTGACCTTTCGTCCGAGCAAAATGACAGCGGCACAGGTAGATGGGCCACGCCCCTACCTCTTCCCAGCTCTGGCTCCAGCCACAAGTCTGCCTCAAAAGACAGAGGCAGACTCTGGGACCGAAGGGAGGAGGGGGTTTGGGGATGCCATTTGCCCCACTTGCCCACTTGCCCACTTCCCCCACTTTCCCCTCTTGCCCTGCTTGCCCCACTTGCCCCACTTCTGCCACGTCCTCCCACCTCCCGGCCCCAGCCCCAGCCCCAACTCCAACCCCCCCAAGTGGAGCAAGTGGGGCAAAATCAATTCGCTCCACCAGGCCACCAAGTGGGGCAAATGGGGCAAGTGGGGCAACGTCGATTAGCTCTTCCGGAAAAGCAAGTGGGGCAATGACAATTAGTGGTGGCCGTGGGCGCCCCCAATGTGATATGGCCATTGGGTCCCCCAACCCAAGGGTGCAACCTTCGGGGTGCAAGGTAAAGATCCCATGGATACAAATGGCCTTCGGACGTCCCGGCTGGCTTGAGGCTTGGCTTCGAAGGTTAGGCTGTTGGCCGTAGCTGAATTTAGGGGTTTGGGACTTCAAGAAGCGTTTTTTTTTTGGGGGGGGGGGGGTGGGGGGGGGTGGGGCTGGGGGTGGGGGGGGTGGGGGTGGGGGTGGGGGTGGGGGTGGGGGTGGGGGGGGGGGGGTGGGGGTGGGGGTGGGGGTGGGGGTGGTGGGGGGTGGGGGTGGGGGTGGGGGTGGGGGTGGGGGTGGGGGGGGTGGGGGTGGGGGTGGGGGGTGGGGGTGGGGGGGTGGTGGGCAGGGGGGCCCCTAAGCCTAGTAAACCCTAAACCCTCAACCCTAAACCCTCAACCCTCAACCCTAAACCCCAAACCCTCAACCCTCAACCCTCAACCCTGGCCGCCACCTGCTGCTGGTATTGCTCGTCATTCTGCGGCCGGCGCACACCGAGCTCGGCCAAAATGCGAAGCAGGTGGCAGAACCTCAAGATGCCAGGAGCTGCTGGGGCTTAGGGAGGCTTGTATAGGGTTTAGGGTTTAGGGTTTAGGGCTTAGGGCTTAGGGTTCGGGGCTTGGGGCTTCAGGATTAGAGTGGTTTAGGATTTAGGGTTTAGGGCTTACAGGGTTTAGAGGGTATAGGGCTTCTACTATTTGCTTGTGAACCCCCCAAAAAACACTATTCTTCCTTGTAAAGGGTAATATAGGGATTGGCATCCTTTTTTCTTCTTCTTCTTCTTCTTCTTCTGCTTTGTGGTTAGGGGGGGAAGATTCTTAATTCAGCACATAGCAGGCTTTTAGGGCTTCTAGGGGTTTGGAGTTGCAAAAGGATTTGTGCCTGGAGTGTGCTATAGAGGTTTGGGGATTTGGGGTCTTTAGGGGTTTCGCTTTTTTGGGGGATTGAGGGTCGTGTTTTTTTTTTTTGAACGGGTTGAGGTTGTTTCTGGAGATGTGGGGCTTTAATAAGGGTTTGGGACTTTAGGGATTAAGGACTTGGCGGTTCTCAGGGTTTACAGTCATAAAACCTAAACAGGACCTGTCCTAAGCCCTGAACGAACCTGAACCCTGAACCCTGAACCCCTGAACCCCTGAACCCCTGAACCCCTGAACCCCTGAACCCCTGAACCCCTGACCCCCTGAACCCCTGAACCCCTGAACCCCTGAACCCCTGAACCCCTGAACCCCTGAACCCCTGAACCCCTGAACCCCTGAACCCCTGAACCCCTGAACCCTAAACCCTAAAACCCTAAACAGCCCTAAACCATATAAATCCGCTGCACGGCCCAAGTCTAGCCTTTTTGCAGAGCTCCCGAAGATCCTATAGATCCTACCTGAGACTTTTCCAAGACCCAAGCTTAGTTGTCCAATAGCCTAAACCCTAAACCCTAAACCCTAAACCCTAAACCCTAAACCCTAAACCCTAAACCCTAAACCCCAAAAAACCCTAAACGAAACCCTAGCCGTGGCCCAAAATAGTTTAAACTTTTCTTTTAGTACGGGGGTTTAGTATACCCAAAAAGTTTAACGTCACCTATTGGGTCCTTTGCGGCTCCTGGGTTCAGGGCATGGGCTGTATAGGGTTCTGGGTTTGAGGTTTTCCCTGAACCCCAAACCCTCAACCCTTGTAGGGCTGAAAGTTTTGGGTTCCTTGTGAAGGATTGCTGCCCCTCCCCTCCTCCCCCGCCCGAAATTCGCCGGCGTTGTTCTCAAAACTGTGGGGGAAGAAGGTAGGACCCAGAGCAAGGTTTTAGGGCTTTGGGTTTCCGGTTTAGGGTTAGGCCCTTATTCCCTTCTTTTAGGGTTTAGGCTCCCTTATGAGCCCCTGTAAACCAAACAGGAGACCCCTAACCCCCTAAACCCCAAACACTAAACTCTAGGCACCCTTTTTTCTTCCTAGCTACTCTTGCAGATGCTTTTTGACCTAAGGAAAGCACATGCCTCAATCGGATTATTGTAATTTGGGGCTGTAGGGTTTATGGCTTAGGGTTAAAAGGGTGTGTGTGGGGGGGGGGGGGGGTATATGATCCAATTGCAGGGTTCATTCGGCGCGCAAGGAGTATTACGTATAACATGATAAGACACTAGGTGCCCCCGAGGGTTTAGGGTTTAGGGTTGAGGGTTGAGGGTTTAGGGAGAAAATGGTGCTTTTTCTCCGAAAGCCTCCCGTTATAAGCCATTGTTCTTTGCCAAGACCCAGAGCACAACATCTCAGAGTGTTGGGTTGGCTCAGTCTGGGATCATACACAGATGCTACTTCAGGCTGTAGATCTGGACCCTAAACTCTAAACCCTAAACCCCTAAACCCTAAACCCCTGCTCTTGCCGACATAGCTGTTGCCTCAACCGTCGTCACGGGCTCCCAATCCGTGTTTTCAAGGTGGAGGCGGTGGTGGGGGCGGACGGGAACCTGACGAACACGGCTGCTCTTAGTTGCCCAATGCCCTAAACCCTAAACCCTAAACCCTAAACCCTAAACCCTAAACCCTAAACCCTAAACCCAAAAAAGTTTAAACTTCGCTTTTTGTATTGCTTTAGTATATCCAAAAAGTTTAAAGTTCACCTATTGGGCCCCTAAGTGCTCTAATAAGGAGGGGCTATAAGGCCCTATAATCCCTATCATCAACCCTACAAAAAACCGCTTTAAGGGGGGTTACAGGGTAGAATAGCCCCCGGTCCTGGTGATAGGACTTCCTGAGTCTCAATGTGCCCCTTCTCAACGGCGTAGTCGAGAGCCGTCTGGCCAAAGACATCCCGCGGCTTCGGGTCGGCATTGGCTTCCAAGAGCAAGCGGACAACGTCACTGTAGCCGTACCGAGCTGCCTGGGGTTGGCATTCAAACCCCACTGAAACATATTTAGATACAGGGTTCCCTTGCACACCCAAATAAGGGAAAGAAGAAACATATTTAGATATAGGGCTCCCTTATCAACCCAAGTAAGGAAAAGAACACAAATGTCCCAAAAACCAGAGCCGAGATGCTAGTATGATCGGCGTGTCGCCAAAACGACCCCTGGAGTCCTTGTCCGCGCCGGCGCTCAGCAGGAGGCGCGCAATCTCCTTGGCTACACTCAGGAGGGTAGCTATACATTGAACTTCTAGCTGCCTTAATAAGAAACCCAATAGACCTAAAAAAGGTAAGGATCTACAGATCTACAGTTACAGTAAGTGTGCCACAAAGTCTCAATGTGCCCATCTGCGCACGCTGCGCTGAGGGCCCCCTCCAACACCTGACCACCACCACCATCTTCGAGCAGCATTCGCACCTAGACTCGCCATTAGAGCCTTAACAAAAAACACTATTCTGAAGTACCCTAACCTCACTAAAAGATATATTCTAAAATGCCCTCTTGGGGTTTCATATAAACAAAAAATATTAAGGAACAAAAAAAAAACATCCCAAGGGGGGGTGTAGGGACGACGTGCGCATGGCCTTTTCCGGCGGCCCAGGCCTTGGTAGCCCAGGTAACCATACGACAATCGGGGAACCCCCCCCCCCCCTTTTTGTTGGGTCTATGGCTTCGGGTTTAGGGTTTAGGGTTTAGGGTTTAGGGGCTATTTTATAAGGGAACCCAAAAAAAAAGGTAAAGGGAAATTGTAATAAGGGCACCCTTCTTTTTCCGGTTGGTTACTTTACAAGGGAAGCCATTTAAAAAAAGGTAAAGGGTACCACTGGGCTGCCAAGAAGCTAACGGGGAATTGTCAGCCTCATCCCCAAAGAATCCCTGGTCGGCAGCACTGGGAGGGCCGACTCTCACGAGCACTTTCACGATTTCAGCATGGCCTAGACCCGGGACTCGCCTAGGAATAAAGAGGGTACCCTTTTTTGGTTCTAAGGGGAAATATCAGGGAACCCCCAAGCCCTAAAAAGGGAAAAAAGGGCCTACTCCTGGTCCTAGTGGCCCTCTGTGCATGCGAAGAAGAGGGCTGTCTGCTTCCGATGGTTTGTCATCTGCGTGTCCGCACCCTGATCCACCAGAAACCGTGCCAGCTCAGCATGTCCGTTTCTTGTTGCAAGTATCAGCGGCGTGTCTCCCTCTTCATGGCGGTAGTTCTTGTCAGCTCGGAGTTCGAGCAGGCAGCGCGCCACGCCCACGCGGCCGTGCACGCAAGCGTAGACGGCCAGCTCGTAGCCAGCCCACCACCGCTGGTCTGCGGTCGCGAGCGACTGCATGACCAACTGTAAGTCCCATGATTCCTAGGGTTTAGGGTTTAGGGTTTAGGGTTTATAGTTTAGGGTTTAGGGTTTAAGGTGGAGTAACCTAATTAGGAATGAGAAGAGTAGCCTTTGTGATACTCAGGAGATTCTAAAGGAACCCCAACCCAAAAAAAAAGGAAATAAGGGCCTACTCCAGGTCCACGATTCTTCCAGCTTGGCGTCATCATTCAAGCGCCGGCCCTGGTACAAGAACTGCTGCGCGCAAACCGGCAAGTCGTGCAAGGTGCGCAAGGAGACCTTCTTGGTAGTACCAGTAGCAACCATCTTAGAAGGGCACCCAGGAACCATCTCATAAAAAGGGCACCCTTTTTTGGTTAGCTAGTTACTCTTCATGTATAAATACATAAATAAATAAATATAAATATAAATATAAATATAAATATAAATATATGCTCACCCCCCCCCCCATGATCTAGGTCGAAAGGCCTTTCGGGCCCATCGAAGCGAGATTTAAACCTAAGTCGGAATGAAAATTAAAAGGCCACTGGCCTCATTCGTAGTAAAACTTTTTTTAGAAATCTAAATTTGCCAATTAAAAGCCGCACCCTATGAAATCCTCTTCTGGGGCCTGCCTGTCCGTAACAAAATCTCACAAGAGCTTTATATGCAGAGGTTACAGCCTCAGAAATCCTCATCTGGGCTTCCTTCCTATTTTATTGAGAAAATGCTTCTACATAAGAAGCCCACACCCTACGAAAAGAATTCTATACTTAAAGGCCACACCCTATGAAATCCTCTTCTGGGCCCTCTTAATGAAATTTCAGTAGACTTGTGTCTGATAAAGCCACAGCTTCGTTCGTAATTAACCCAAGTAAAAAAATATTAAGAGGCCCAGCCCCAAGACATCCTCTTCTAAGCCTCATTGATTAATACCTATTTAGAACATTTTTGTTTTTCCCACACCTTGTGAAATCTTTCGCTGGCCCCATTCGTAATGAAACGCAATTTGATTTCATATTGTAAGCCCACACCCTAAGAAATCCTCTTCTGGGCTTCGTTCGTAATTGAACCCAAGTAAAGCAAGTGTATATTCAGAGGCCAACCCCAGGACCTCCTCCTCGCAATGAAACCGAGTTAGAATTCTATATTGCAGACCATACCCTATGAAATCCCTTTCTGGCCCCTATTTGTAATGAAGATTAATTAGAATTCTGTATTACAAAGCCACACGCCAAGAAATCCTCATTAGACCTTCGTTTGTAATTAGACTTATTTTCGATTTGCCAAGATGCTTGTATTAAAAAAAGCCACACCATTCTGGGGCCTGTTCGTAACAGAATCTCGTAAGAAGTTTACAATTCTAGGTAAGAAGCCCACACCCTAAGAAGTTGTGACCTAGGCTAGGTTCGTATGTAACTCTTGGACAGAAATTTATATCATGAGCCCCCATTTGTATTTGAATGTACTTACAATTCCATATTTAACCGCTAGGCCCTATGAAATCCTCTTCTGGTGCCTATTAGTGAAATGTCAATAGACTTGTATATGATAAAGCCATAGCTTCGTTAGTAAATTAAACCCAAGTCAAACAAACAAATTAAGAGGCCCCGCCACAAGACATCCTCTTCTAAGCTTCATTGGTTAATACCTATTTGGAATTCTATTTTGCAGACCACACCCTATGAAATTCTCCCCTGGCCTCGCTTCATACTACAATGTTATTTGAGGTTTGTATTAAAACGCCACACCCTAAGAAATCCTCATCTGGACTCGTTTGGAATTCCACTTAAATTGAATTTTAAGTTTAGAGGCCACACCCCTTTGGACAGAATTTAAACGGCCACACCCTAAGACCTGTGTATGGTAAAGCCACAGCTTCGTTCGTAAAACCAAACCAAGTAAAACAATTAAGAGGCCACGCCCTTCTAAGCCTCATTCGTTACTACCTCTTTGGAATTTCATTTTACCGACCACACCCTGTGAAAGTCTCCTCTGGCCCCGCTTCGTAATGAAATGTAATTTGAGGTTTGCACTAAAACACCACACCCTAAGAAATCCTCAACTGGACTTCCTTTGTGATTCCACTTAAATAGACGTTTAAATTAAGAGGCCACACCCCAAGACATCCTCTTCGAAGCCCCACTCTTTTTTAAGTCCAATTAGACTTTTGAATTGCAGGTCCACATCCTCAAAAGAACCACACCCTAAGAAACCCTCTCTATTTCTTTTTTTTATTACTTTTCATATTAAGACGCCACATCCCAAGACATCCTCTTTTAAGCCTCATTCGTAATTAAATCTAATGGAACTTTACATGTTAACGCCACGCCCTGCATACCGAATAGGCTGAATTGAAAAAAAAACGAATGGTGGGTGTGTTTGTGTGCTTTTCTCTGTGTGTGTGCAAGGCAGTCACATTAGCAGAAACAACGTATAACAATACACATTCTTTATACAAGAAAAGTATTTTTTGCAAAATTTGCTTAAAAAAAAAACCCAAAAATCCAAAAAATCCAAAAATTCAAAACCATGGAGCCGGGAGGCCGCCTTTTTTGGATTTTTTGGTTTTCTCGAGGTTTTTTTGGTTTTTTTTGGAAAAATCCAAAAAAAACCATGGTTTTTTTTGGATTTTACTTGCTCCTGGCCTCAAAAACCTAAAAAACACATTGGTTTTTTTTGGATTTTGAGTGAAAATCCAAAAAAACCCTCGTGTTTTTTTAGTTTCTGAGACCAGGAGCACCTGAAATCCAAAAAAACACGAGGGTTTTTTTGGATTTTCACTCAAAATCCAAAAAAAACCATGTGTTTTTTAGGTTTTTGAGGCCAGGAGCAAGTAAAATCCAAAAAAACCATGGTTTTTTTTGGATTTTTCCAAAAAAAACCAAAAAAACCTCGAGAAAACAAAAAAATCCAAAAAAGGCGGCCTCCCGGCTCCATGGTTTTGAATTTTTGGATTTTTGGATTTTTGGATTTGTGTCAAAATTTGCAAATTCTGCAAAAAAGAAGTGTTTTTTGCATACAATTCTGTGTTTATAAGCCTGTCCTATGCAAATAATTCATAGACATGTTTACCAAATTGCATTTTCCTGTGTTTTTGGGGTGTTTTTTTATGTGGTGATGTGGAAGTAGTGCTAAACACACGCGTTTTTCACTATTTACAGGTTTTCTCGCATAGGACTAGACGTGCAAAAACAGGACATCGCCTAGCATAGCCAGCATGTCATTTTAATCGGTATTTACGAGGGTTTTTATAGAGACAAAGCAAAACCTAGATCATGGGGGGGGGGTGACCAAATATATATATATATGTATATATATATATATATAAGGGAACCTTGAACCAACAAAAAAAGAGGGAAAGGGCACCCTTTTTAGGTTGCCTGCTTTTTTACAAGGGGACCTTGAACCCAACAGAAAAGGGGGGAAAGTGGTGCCAAAACCCTAACCCTAAACCCTAAACCCTAAACCCTAAACCCTAAACCCTGAACCCTAAACCCTAAACCCTAAACCCTAAACCCTAAACCCTAAACCCTAAACCCTAAACCCTAAACCCTAAACCCCTGGGCTGCCAAGCCTTCAGGGTCCGCACATCCTTGGCCTCCTGTACAGGCAAGCTGGCCAGCTTCTCACCTGACACCCTCCAGACGTGGAGCATCGGGGGCCAGAGGCGGCGGGGTTTAGGGGTTTAGGGGTTTATAGGGTTTGGGGTTTATAGGGTTTATAGGGTTTAGGGTTTATGGGGTTTATGGGGTTTATGGGGTTTATGGGGTTTATGGGGTTTATGGGGTTTATAGGGTTTTTGGGTTTATAGGGTTTATAGGGTTTATAGGGTTTATAGGGTTTATAGGGTTTATAGGGTTTATAGGGTTTATAGGGTTTATAGGGTTTATAGGGTTTATAGGGTTTATAGGGTTTATAGGGTTTAGGGCTGAGGGTTGAAGGACCCTTCAAAGGTGCCGGGATATCTTGGGGCGAGGTAAATCATGAGGTCGATAGCAAGGTGTTTCAAATCGTCTTTGGGAATAGAGCAGGTATACTTTAAGGCACAAACCGGGTTTATTCAAAAGTCTGTCAGAAGCCCTTGAAGTAAGCAACCTCATGGTACGGCGGCGGTTCGCGAAGATGTGAGCAAGAGGGACAGTCCCAGTTTTGGATGGGCTTCGGGGTTCGTGTAGGCTCGTGGGTACGTATAGCAGAGGTAACCTCTATAAACAATAAACCCTAAACTCTGGGCCACAAACCCTGAACCCTAAACCCCAAATTAAGCCCTAGTCGAAAGTACCCATGCACCTTTGAGGGTTTGGGCATACTAATTGGGATCCATTTAGGTAGCCCACACCCTAAACCCTAAGCCCTAAACCCTAAACCCTAAACCCTAAAGCCTAAAGCCTAAAGCCTAAAGCCTAAAGCCTAAAGCCTAAAGCCTAAACCCTAAACCCTAAACTCTAAACCCTAAACCCTAACACCTTACCATCTCCGTGTGGGGATCTAAGGGTGGTTGCATGCTCCCTTACTATTGTCCCCTGCCTTCTGTAAAGGGTTCTGAAGTACGGGCTCTCGGTTTAGGATTTAGGGTTTAGGGTTTACGGAGGTTCTAGAGGGTATACAAGGGGAATGTAAGGGGTCACCGTTCCGAACATAGGGGTACCCCTTATATACCCCAAGATACTATGTGATCCTTTTAAAGGAGCCCCCATAATAAGGGGCCATGCTTCATGCTGTGTGGGGTCTGGTTAGGAGCTGCCCTTGGCTTCTCAATCAATCCCTAAACTACGAGGCCCCAGATACAGCCGATCCACCTCAGCTTACTCTTGGGTCCATAAACCTAATCCCTATTCCCTAACCCTAAACCCCAAATCCCAAAACCCTAAACCCCTAAACCCTAAACACGAACCCCTAGACGCTAAACAAACCCTAAACCCTAAACCCTAAACCCTAAACCCTAAACCCTAAACCCTAAACCCTAAACCCTAAACCCTAAACCCCCTATGTGCCCCTAAGCCCCTCTTCCCCTCTTCCCCAAGCCCGAAAGCTGCAGCACTTCCGGGGCGCCGGCACCCGTTCAGGCCCAGGCTGTCCGGCCTGGTCGCAGGGTTTAGGGTTTAGGGTTTAGGGTTTAGGGTTTAGGGTTTAGGGTTTAGGGTTTAGGGTTTAGGGTTTAGGGTTTAGGGTTTAGGGTTTAGGGTTTAGGGTTTAGGGCTTAGGGCGTAGGGTTTGGGGTTTGGGGTTTAGGGTTTGGGGTTTGGGGTTTGGGGGTTTGGGGGTTTGGGGTTTGGGGTTTGGGCTTTGGGCTTTGGGCTTTGGGCTTTGGGGTTTAGGGTTTA